CATGTATATCTCTTCCTCCAACTCTCCATGTAGAAATGATGTCTTCACATCAAGTTGTTCGAGCTCTTGATTTTGATGTGCAACTATCGCTAGTAGCACGCGGATGGAAGTGTGTCTGACCACAGGTGAGAAGATCTCACTGTAGTCCACTCCCTCTCTTTGGTTGAAGCCTCTCGCAACGACCCTGGATTTATACTTGACCCTTTCTGTTGGTGATATCCCTTCCTTCTTCTTGAAAACCCATTCGCAAGTAATAATCTTTCTCCCCGGAGACTGTATGACAAGATCCCATGTTTGATTCTTATGCAAAGACTCCATCTCATCTCCCATCGCGGCTATCCATTTTTCAGAATAGGGCCCTAAAACAGCTTCTCTGTAAGTAGATGGTTCAGAAGTATCGACCTATTCAGCAACCTGCAGTGCATAACCCACCATGTCCTCAAAACCATACCTCATGGATGGCCGAACGCCAACCCTTCTTGGTCGATCTTGAGCTATACTACGATGGGTATCTGACGGCATAGATTCTGGGAAATCAGTTTCTGTCTGTGACTCTTGATTCTCCTCTTCATGTTCTTTCGTATCACTCTCGTTCTGAATGACTTGAAGCTCCACCTATTTGTCAAGACTCTCAGTTTCTATTGTAGTTGTAGGCTTCACAATGGTTCTAAGCAGAGAACTTTCATCAAAGACAACGTTTCAGCTCAGAATAACCCTCTTTTCTGCTGGAGACCAGATTCTAAAACCTTTCACTCCATCTCCGTAGCCCACAAATACTCCCTTTTTAGCTCGTGGTTCTAGCTTACCTTCACTGACATGATAGTAAGCTGTACAACCAAAAGCTTTCAGATTTAAATAATCAACAGCTTTTCCTGACCACATCTCCACAGGTGTCTTGCACTAAATTCCTGTATGTGGTCCGCGGTTAGTTAAGTAGCAAGCTATACTAACCGCTTCTGCCCAGAACCTTCTGTCTAGCCCAGCATTAGAGAGCATGCACCTTGCTCTCTCTAGAAGTGTTTGATTCATCTGCTCAGCTACACCGTTCTGTTGTGGTGTATTTCTGACTGTACGATGTCGAGCAATCCCTTCATCCTTACAGAATTGATCAAATTCAGACCAACAGAATTCCAGCCCATTATCAGTTTGTAGCCTCTTAATCTTCTTCCCTGTTTGATTTTCCATCAATGTTTTCCACTCCTTGAACTTCTGGAGAGCTTCACTTTTATGCTTCATCATGTACACCCAAGTCATCCTTGAGTAATCATCAATGATTGACACAAAAAATCTGCATCCTCCCAAAGACTCAACTCGGCATGGAACCCAGCAATCAGAATGGATGTAATCAAGTGTGCCTTTTGTTCTATGAATGGCCTTTGGAAACTTGTTACGATGTAGTTTTCCAAAAACACAATGTTCACAGAACTCTAGGCTCTTTACCTTATGACCAGCAAGAAGATCCTCCTTTGACAGAATTTGCATCTCTTTTTCACCCATATGACCAAGTCTCATGTGCCACAACTTGGTCATATCTTCCTGTTTAACTTCTGATGATGCAATATGGACTGAACCTATAACCGTGGAATCTTGTAGAAAATACAAAGTACCCCGCATGATACCTTTCAGAATCAGATTTGAACCCTTCCAGACGCGCAAAACTCCATCTTTTCCTGACCAACTGAACCCCTTGCTGTCCAAAAGACTGAGAGATATGAGATTCTTTGTCATCAATGGTACGTGCCTGACCTCGTTCAATGTGCAGAAGCTACCATCATGTGTCCTTATCTTGATCGAGCCTGTCCCAACCACCTTGCAGACAGAACTGTTGGCCATCGAGATGCTCCCTCCGTCTACCTGCTCATAAGTTGTGAACCACTCTCTCCTTGGACAGATATGATAGGATGCCCCAGAATCTAGAACCCACACGTCTGAGTAATGAGTGTTTTCATCAGCAACTAAGGCAATGTCTTCTTCAGAATTGGTGTCTTCTTCAGCAACAGCAGCAGAAACTGATTGTTTTTCGGATTGCTTCTTCTTCTTCTGACAGTCAAACTTCCAATGCCCCTTCTCCTTGCAGTAATTACAGACATCATCTGGCTTTGCACCCTTTGACGACAACTTTCTCTCCTTCTTCTTTCCGCTGTATTTCTTTCCCTTTCCGGTACTGGTGAATAAATCGGAAGGTTGTACATCTATACTTGTGCCGTTAGCCTTATGCCGCAATTCCCTGCTATGAAGGGCCGATCTTACTTCTTCGAATGACACAGTATCTTTCCCAACAATGAACGATTGAACAAAATTCTCAAACGATATTGGGAGAGATACCAACAAAATCAGGGTAGCATCTTCATCCTCGATCTTCACATCGATATTACGCAATTCTAATAACAAAGTATTTAATTGATCTAGATCTTCCCTGAGTGGTGTAACCGAATAGACGTTGTTTCAGAAGTAGCTTGTTGGTTAAAGATTTCGTCATGCACAAACTCTCCAACTTTAACCACAAGCCAGCAGCAGTCTCCTCGTCTAAGACCTCCGTGATAACGTCATCTAACAGACACAACATAATCGTCGAGTGCGCCTTCTCTTCCAGAGTTGCCATCTCAGGAGTAGCAACGGCGTTTTTGTCTTTCGACAACGACACCCAGAAACCTTGTTGTTTCAACAAAGCCTGCATCTTGATCTGCCATAAACTGAAACTGTTCCTCCCTGTGAATTTGTCGATTTTCACATTCAAAGCAGACATCTCGAAATTCTCCAAGAACACCAATTAACCTGGAGGCTTCGATACCAATTTGTTATGCGGAATTCGAGAATAACAAATATAAACGAGAAAAACACGACAACTGATTTAACGTGGTTCGCCAACGTTGTGTTGGCTAGTCCACGGGAAGAGGGGGAGCAGTTTTATTTTGGATGGATAGGCAGAAATAGAATACAGCCTAGGGTTTGTGGTAGCACCCATATATGTAATGCTTGACTAAACCCTAACAGACTTGGGCCCAAAACTATAAAACTAATAGATAATTAGAAACCCATATGGAAAAGGGATTCGGTCATCTCAGGATTCAGACCTCTCGAGATTCGAATTTCTTGGAATTCGGATTTCTTGACTTCTCCGGAATTCGGATTTCTTGACTTCTCTGGAATTCGGATTTCTCAGAATTCAGACTTTTCCGGATACGGAGCTGTAATGGGTCAGATTCAAGGCATTTCAACAGTCAGGGAACCAATTCAACCAGAAGCTCAAGCTTGTGGTTGTGGCCCAGGAATGATTGTTATATACTCTAACACGCCCCCTCACGTGCAGGCGTGACCTCTTTGAGCCGTGCACGTGAAATTTTAATTTTTTAAAAAATTGGGTGGCGGTAAATTTCGAACTCGTGACCTCTTGGTTATCAAGGCTCTGATACCATGTCAAGGAACCAACTCAACCAAAAGCTCAAGCTTATGGTTGTGGCCCAGGAAGGGTTATTTATATTCTAACAATATATACTACCTCCGTCCCAAAAAAACCTTCATATTTTGATTTTTTTTTATATCAAACTTTGACGACACGCTTTGACCATAGACTCAAAAAAATGTATTATAACGTAAGTTGACTATGTAATTAGGTTCATTTTAGGATATTGTTTTAACTTTTGATATATCAAATTTATAACATGTATTTATTTAAATTATAGTCCATATTCAATTTATAGTAAAAAATAGTGCTAGAATTTGACAAAAAATTGAAAACATGAAGATTTTTCTCAAATCGAGGGAGTACAGAACAATAAATATATAATTATGTTTTTTAATCAAATGAGTAACAAAAATACTACCTTTGTTTCAAAAAATAGTTCCACCCTAATTTTTTGTACATTCCAACAAAATACTTTTACTCCAACCTAAAATATTCATGAATACACCTTATTTCTTCTTTATTGCAGGTAAAAATTATTTTGGAAGTATTTTGGACAATTTATGTGGGATAAGAGTATTATGTGAGATGTGCAAAAAAATTAGGATGAAACCATGTTTTGAAACGGAGGGAGTACAAAAAATAAAACCTGACATCGGATTTACTAAAATAAGAAAACAAAAGTTGAGTAAAAAAGATTATCTTATAACTAAAGTACGTTTATTTTACTACTCCGTAAAATATTTTATTTAGTTCAGTCATCATTTTCATACTTTGGACTCGAGTGTCTAGACTCAAAAATCTAGTTAAGATTGAGGTACAAAAAAAGGTCTAAGTTTTATTTCTCATATCTAAATAATAAAAAAAAGGAAAAAAAGTTAAAGATCAAAGTAAAACAGTTATGCTTAAAAATAAAGTAAATGGAAAGAAAAAAAGATTTGAATAAATTAAAGAGTAAAAGGATGTTGAGATTATTAATACCTAGACTTAAACATAACTAATCAATAAAATAGTGGTTGAGCATCCATGTCCTCTCAAGTCTCAAATGAAAAGGAATGGGAATAAATCCCTTAAATGAAAAGCCGTTTTAGTAACTCATCCATCTAATTAAATAAGTGAAATTTGTACTAAATAGGACTAAAACATAATAACTTTCCTAATCTAGGACTTAAACTTTTTTATTCTCTAAATAGGACTTAATAATGTCTTCGTGGAAGGAATAATGCCCAGCAATGATGAACATTTACTTGAATAATGACTAATTAATAATGACCAAACTTCCTACATTGGGAAATAAAAACATATGGTCCTATTTTGAGAAAGTCATTATGTTTTAGTCCTATTTAGATAAATTACTCATAAAATAACTGAAAGTGCACCTATGCTCATACTCCCTCTTTCCCTAAGTATTAGTCCATTTTTGACTTTTTTGGTCAAAATTGAAAACTTTGACTTCAAATTAAATAAAAATAATATTAAGCAATAATACATAAATAGTTTTATTAGATTTATTATATCAAATATTTTCAAAATATTATTTCATCTAATTAATATATTACGTATGCTCATATAAAAAAAACAGAGTTTAATTAATTACCTTAGGCTTGAGCTGAAAAGCCAAGGTTGGAGGTCTAGAAATGAGATCTTTCAACATATGGGCACGTTTGTCATCTTTGGGATCCGCATCGTCCCTGCAGAGTGGCCTTTTCTCAATTTCGTCCTCTGAGGCAACTTCACTTTCAAAGCCGCCATTACTATTGCTGCAAAAACAACACCCTGCTGATGAAGACAGACATAAACTGTCTAACACCTTACCAAAACTAAATTTCCCCATTATATATATATATACTCGATCACAAAAACAAAACCAAAATACAGTACGTGATGATAATAATATTATTGATCGAAAAAATTGAAGATGACAATCTATATATTTTGAAGAATATATCTTTAATCATTTCCAAGTTGTATTAAATACTAGGCAGCTAGTTAATGGTTAATACTTAATACGGAGTATTATTTTGAAAGGAAGTTTGACCAATAATAATCTGTCGAGGGGCTATAGCTAGACACTTAGCTTCTTCAACAATTGCATGTGTGGATTTTCTTTTGGAGCAATAATTAATAGAAATAGGTACGTGGTTTGTGGTAACGTCTAGGCATCATGGATGTGTTTCTTTTTCCTGTGATCATCATTTTTTTTGTATATATGCATGTGGGAGAAGTGTGAAACAGCAGACAATCCATTACTCGCAAGTCAATCAATGCGAATTATTATATATGCTCCATTTCTAAATTCAATTCCTAAATTATTGCTCTTACTCACGATAGATTTAATTAATAAAGTTGAAAAACCCCCTGGTTGAGATTATATTCATTTGTAAATTAAAAAAAACAAAGAGTAATGTATATGATCAAATTTGATAATAAGGAACCAACTCAACCAAAAGCTCAAGCTTATGATTGTGGTTCAGGAAATGTTTCTTACGAGTATATTCTAACACGCCCTCTCGCGTGCAGGCATAGTCCTTTTTCGAGCCTTGCACGTGAAACCTTTTTTTTAAAAACCGGGTAGCGTTGAGTTTCGAATCCGTGATCACAAAGGCTCCGATACAATGTCAAGGAACAAACTCAACCAAAAGCTCAAACTTATGGCTGTGGTCCAGGAAAAGTTTCTTATATTCTAACATTTGATAATACTCGGTAATTGATTTTATTGAATAGTATGTAAAATGTAATGAGGGCTCCACCAATATATATGCATAAATATCCTAACTAAAGAATAATACACATGGAAATAAACATAATACTCCCTCTGTTCTACTCCCTCCCTTCTTTAAAACCATTCCTATTTGACTTTGAGCCAAAATAAAGAAAATGTAATTTTAGTTAACTTTCTAATTTTGCCCCTTATGTGATGGGTAAAAGTAAGATATGATAATTTAGTTATTAGTGAAAAAGTATGATGTGATAAGTAGGATATGAAAAAGTAGGGGTAAAAGTGGTTTTATAATAGAAAGTTGAAGTGTTTTAAGGAATTAGAAAAAAACGAAAGTGGAAGGGTTTTATGGAACGGAGGGAGTACAAAACAGTTCTTATTTTCACTTTTGCACAATTTAATTTTTTATTTTGACTTTTCAATTAAATCATTAGCGTCGAATAGAAAAAAGTGACAAATCACTTAAATCACTTATTATATCAATATAAAACAGATGGAGTATATTGAAATGACTTTATTTGGATATATTAACCATTTTAATAAAAAAGGAAGTGTTTTAATGAAAGCGAAAAAAACGAAAGAGCAAGTATTTTTCCAAACGGAGGGAGTATATGGGAATAAGGGGTGGACACGGTATAGTTCCGGGACAGTTCCGGAACCGCCGGTTCTGGTACCGCCACCCTTAGGAACCGATACCGTGACCGGACCGGATGGTACCAGTGCTGGTACCCGGACCGGATGTTCCGGTACTGGAACGGCCGGTTTCGGCCACCCCCTTATTATTATTTTTTTGCTTTTTTTTTTAATTTTTAAAAGTGTAAAATTGTAAATGTGTAATTGTTAAAGAAAATAAAGAAATAAAAATCTAAAAATGTAGTTGTTATTTAAATATAGTTGTTTCTCAGTTCGTGTATTACCGGGACGGATATCCTAAAGTTCACAACAATTTTTTGGTACTACCTCGTCCTATTTAGAAATTAGAACTATAGAGAATGAAAAATGATAGTTTTATTTTGGGCCTTGAGAACCCAATAGGAATAATTTCCCTTTAGTGCATAGATATTTTTTTTGGGCCACTCTTTTGGGCTTAGCCAAACTAAAACAGTTACATTTTTTCAAACCAAACGAAACTGATTTTTTAAAAATTTAACAGTTTCAACACATTGGTAACTGGTAAAAGATTCCTTCCACTTTTCAATTTCTTGGAAGTTGAAACTCTTTTACTCTCACCGTTCCATCTACCCAATTAGTGGAACCCGTGAACCTCCCCTCTCTCAACCACTCCTCTCCTATTTAAATCAAGACATCCCAATCCATTCCTATCACAAACAACTCTTTCAATATGAAAAGTCTTCAAACTCACTGTCTGAGAAACACACCAAGAAAAATATCCTCAATGGAGAAATTTTTTTTTCTCACCCTCATAGACGGCAAAGGAGAAAGCCTAACGAGAAGAAAAGACTTTCAAGGTCTATGGTGAGAATCTCGGCAGTAGAGAAGGTCTGTGGTGAAAATCTCATATTTTTCAGGATTACACCATATACCTTCTCTGGAACAACACTCTCTCCATTTTCGTTTCTTCTAATTTTTTTTAAAATATTATTTTTCCTTTTCTCTTTTTTGGTCTTCAAAATTTCACTTTTAAAATTTTCTGATTTTTTTTCTTGAAACACTCTTCCCTTCTCTCTTTATTTTCTTTTATTTTAAAAATTGATTTCAAATCTCCACTCTTGCTGTCTCTGCACCCTTCTCCACCTCTTTTCAAAATTTCTTTCCCCTTCTGTTTTTTAAACTCTTTCTTCCCTAGTCACCACATTTTTTTAAAATTTTTTTTTCTTTCCTTTCACCATACTTCTCTTTTAAACTCTTTTTCAAAATTTCTTTAAAAACCCTTATTTTATCTTTTTCACAATCAATTCTCTTTTCTAAAACCTTTTTCTTGTCTTTCTATCTTTTTCTTTTTCCTCCACCGCCGCCTCCTTTCTCTCCACTTTCTTTTTGTTCTTGTTCTTGCTTTTTGGAGAGATGTTGCTTCCTAGATCTCAAATATCCACTTTGGATATTAAAGATCTATCAAACGCACCGCCATCTGTACTTCCAAGCAACATCTGCTGGAAATGAAAGCAGCAAATGGCAGGAAATATCACAAATCTCAAGACAAGACTTGGTTTAGGAATTATTGTAATTTGAATTGTATTTGTTTAAGAGTTTTTGTTAACAAGCTGTATATTATGAGAAACTAAAAGAAAGTTATAAAATTAGTTCTTAGTACAGCGACCGGAACTCTTGAACACTTGTTTGTCATCATCAAAAAGGGGGAAATTGTTGGGAAAATATTATAGATTTTGATGATGATGTATTTAGATTGTAATAGGGACATTAGGCCTCCCCCAATATTCAATGTAATTTTTCTTTTTAGAAATATTGTCAAAACCGAGTTCTTGAGATTTCCAATAAAGTTGTGATATTTCTTTAAGTGGTTTGATGCTTGAAGACTTAATCAAATTCAGTGATTTGGAAATTGAATATCTTGATCGGAAATGTCAGAGACAAGTAAGGATTTCTCAAAGCAGATGAAGATCCTCTAATCCGGAATACTACATAATAACCGGATGTCTCGGTACAACCCGCTGAAGGCTAAGTCATTCAAATCGGAAGACTAGCGCGGATCTCTTTCTCACCCGGAAGTCTGTGAATGACTCTTCCGGATTTGTCAGCAAACGAACCGGATGCCTCAAGAAAAGACCGGAACTCTCAGGAGCGGACAAGTGAGAAAAGACTTAGAAAATTATCTAAGTCTTGAATGAAGAAATTCTACCCGTTGGTAAGGAAAAATCAATTTCTTGATTTTCAACGGCTAGATTGAAGATAATTAAAGTGATTCAAGAACAAATGGCTCGAAGACAAAGTCTGGACCTATCAAATTGAAGAGCCTGTCCAGAATTCCTAAACAAGCACTAGAAGACAAACAGAGTAAAGTGCTACAGTCCAGAATTCTTGAACACCAGCTAGAAGACGGATTTTGTGGAAAAAGGAATCCCTCCTCAAACAATTAGGTATGTCCAAACACCCATTCCAACGAGGAATCTTCAAATCGCAATCTTCATTCAAAATTGAAGCCAGCAAATGCAACGGATAGTCTATTTTGATTCATCGGATAGATTATCCAATCCAGCTATAAATAGCATCCTTGGAAGACTGGAGAAAATACAGACAGACACACAACCCATGAGATAGAAAACCACAACGAAGCAATCTCTAACAACAAAACTATCTCATTCACAGTTAGCCCAAAAAGCTTGATAAAGAGAGATTTCTAAACTCCTTATCCAGAAGCAAACTTCTCCTCCTTCCAAAGAGCTATAGTGTAAACACTTGAAGGTTTCCTTGCCTCAAGTACCACACCACGTTGAAGGATACAACTTTTGATTAAACTTTTTGATTAAAAGGGGGTAGGTCAACTTTCTTACAAGTTGATCTTGCAAGTCCTATTGTTCGGATCTTGCAGTTGTTGAAGAAGCGTGACCTTCGAAGGAACAACAAAGCCAGCACGAGTGCAGTAGCGACATTAGCCTTGCGAAGATATACCGTGCAGAAATTCACACAAGTGTAATTGTTGGTTCATTATTCAACAACCAACTACATAGTGGATTTTGAGGACGTAGAAGGATTACCCCACCTTCGAACCTCGTTAAAGTTTGCGTGTCTCTCTCTTTTATCTTTACTCTTACTTGCAATTATATTAACTGTGAAAACTAACCCATCCATATTGATTACTGCTCATACTACCCACCAAATTCCGCACACAATCTAAAGTTCACAAGAATTCTAGATTAACACTCATTTTCACGTTTTCAAAAGAAACGAAAAAGTTTTAAATTTGTAACAAAGTCTATTCACCCCCCCTCTAGACTTTGTATCTCACCACTTTGGGACCACCAACATCCCGTGACACACTGATCTTCCCAGTGTCCGGGAAATACACGCGCCAACCCTTCTTTCCTTGTGGGTATCCCAAAAATATTCCAGGAATACTTCTGGGTGCAAATTTATCTCCATCTCTTTTCAAATTGTGTACATAACATCTGCAGCCGAAAACACGTATGTGAGTTCTCGTAGGGACCGTTCCATAAAGCTTCTCATACGGTGTAACCCCCCTAGCAAAGAAGAGGGTGTGCGATTTATCAAATACGCCGCAGTTTGTATACAATCTCCCCAAAATTCAATAGGAAGCCCTGCCTGAAATCTTAGAGCTCGACCCACGTTCAGAATATGACGATGTTTACGTTCTACTCTTCCATTCTGCTGCGGTGTAGACACACAAGATCTCTCACGAATAATTCCTTGTTCTAGAAAATATTCATTCAAGCAATCGAATTCTGTGTCATTGTCAA